TTTCATAACTCAATGGGAAATTTCTCTCTCTACAATTAAACTCCTTTGCCTGATTCTAGTGGATGCTATCTCTTGTTGAATCAATTCAGCCCTAAGCTGATTCCTGTGTTCCTGGACTATTAAAATTCTACCTATATTTAGTAACATCATGGAATTCTGAAAACGATCACCCTTGAAATGAACGAACAACCATTCAGATGTAAAAGATAACGCCAGGCCTCTTTCTTACACAATATTAAACTTGCAGTGACTAATCTTTACACGGCAATTTTAGGGAGGCCATTTTGCCTCTACTTGGTCACGCAGAGGAAGCGAGAAGCTACCGAGCGCCTGTCATAGGCGATCACGTGATCTCTCATCACCAACAATGGGCTTACTACGCGGCGACCATTGTGAGCTTCGACCGCGAGACTTTGAAATACACAGTGGACTGGGACGATGGAGATCCTACAGGGAAAGTCCAGTCATATAAGGTATGCAGAGAAATTAGGTGCATCTTGGGTAAAAACCGAAGTTGGAGAGAAATAAAGAAGTTTTGATTGTTAAAAAAATCCTCCCTGACAGCTGCTTAAGAAATGTATATGGAATAGTATGGAGAATGTGGATTCTGATGTTAGAGTGTGAAGGTCAAAGCCAACCTGAACTCTGGTTTACTTTAGGACCTGGCCATTGACAAGATCCCAAGTGAAGACCAAGTGGGTGTGGACTCCATTGTGTTTTTCCCCCAGGGAGGTTACGGAGCTACCGAGGGGAATAACACCGGGGGAGTCAGATACCATGAAGGAGTCGTCACACGTGTCTACAAGGTTTGTCATAGCTTAGTGTAAAATGATTGAATGGTTCGTTGGATACACGTTCAATCCTAATTTTAATAACAGCCATTTTGATAGGCTCTATTTCCGCCGCTCTCTCGTTTCCGGTCCTCGCTCCTCCCCGAGAAGAGAGTTCGGGGATGGGAGAGAGGGAAGGAACGCGGGCTCATATTCCCGAACAGCGGCTGGTAATCGAGACTAACATTTTGACACAAGCAGTATCATGATGTATAGAACCGAGAATAAGCCTGAGTCTGAAAATTCGATGATCTTCAAGATAGTGTGAGGAGTACGATCGGATAACGGTGGTGTGTCAGAAAGGTTGCGTCATTGTAGTTCAATTCAACCCGCTCAGCTCGCGCGCGGCCTTAACGCAAACGACACGCGTGAGAGAAATCAGACACGCTCCGTTTGTTTCCCTCGCGTCTGACTTCTTATTGGCACGTGTTCTCCGGGAGCCTGCCCTCATTATTAGTGCTTTGGCACGAGCGTTTCTTAGCCCGCAGGAAAGTGGCCATCCTTGAGCAAAACGAGCCAAGGAGAGGTCTGCAAGGGGTCTGGCACTAGTAGTGCCAATCCTTCAGCGATCTTCTCCCCGACTTGTCTAAAATTTTCCCGCGGGCGGAAAATGCACGTCCCGCAGCACTAATGATGAGGGTCTGCTCTCGGGCAAGACAAAAAAATTTCAGAATTAACAGTAGACGCCCTTATCGCAACCTTTTTAATTGAATCGGTTTTTTTTTTAATTCTTTTTAGGATTCCTCTGGAGCCTGCCTATATGATGGGCATCACACCAAAGGAGCAGAGGACGGAAAATGGGTCACTTACAAAGATTACAATTACAACTTCAATGGCATACCTCTGCAAATGCTTAGAATCGCTCCCAACGCCATGGATGCACTCATGGCTTGCAAGGAGGCCTTTAGTTGAAATTTCTTCAACATCTCGTGTTTCTTAGTGTTTGAATATTTTGTACGGTCTCCTTCGCGGTTGTCTTTTGAGATATCACGCGATGCTCTTCCTCCACCCCCCTCTTATCTCTCTTCCCTTTCAAATAAAGAAGACGAGCGTTGCGTGACAATTCAGAGAAGACGAGAAGCATTGTTCGCGCCAGCCGGAATAACTACCCCCCGTTTATAGGCCCTCTTGACACCCTTTACGAAGTAGTGTATGCCCAGGGCTGACAAGCGCTAGTTAACGGTATATGTTTTTTTTTTTTTATGGGAAATGGTTGTGAGACAGGTGTTAAGCGCATGAAACGTTTGTACACCAGAGATTCAGTATTTTACAAGGTTTAATTTACAGTCAAATTATAGAGTAAAGGGGGTTTCAATGGAGTGATAAAATTTTGGCCAATTTACGGCAAAGGTTAATACCTTTCAACCAGAAATGTTTTTACAGTTAACTTTTTTTACAACATACGGCTTAATGTCTTGGTCACTTTACGGGTAATGGTTAACCCCTATTAACTATTAAAAGGCAGGCCTTTTCTAATAAACTGAAGAGTAAATATTTGTTTTGTGGAAAGTCCAATCTAAACCAAAATAAATTCAACCTTTGCCCTCTGTACTACATTGTACAATATTTGCCGACTAGTTTATTAACTACTGTGCAAGTGGTAGAAACGAGAATTACAGTTGAAGTATCAAAAAACGTAAAGTCTCTTCACCCCTCCCCCCTCGGTGAGTTGAAACAGAATCCATATGACCTTAGCTAGATCATTTCTCTTGAGAGGGGACAGGTAAGCGGGGAACAAGTGAGTGAATTACTCTCCTAATATTCGAAAAGAAGTTACAGGATCTGAAGACAGTTTCAGAATGTCTCTGGGTTCTCAAGTGCTGTTCTCTTTCGAGGGAGCAAACTGGAGACATCTCGAGCGTGTTCGTTAATATTTGCTTAATTTTGTGTCCTTTTGAAAACAAAAATTTCACCTTGAATGACCTTTTTTGGCTGACAACATCGCCCATCCACTCCCCTACTGGACCACTCATCATGCGCGATTCTTGACAACCCTTGCGTGAAGCTGTCACAGCTAAGCTTCTCAAGTGAGTTTGGTGCTCTAATTACATTTATTAGGAGCAAGATCTTGAATTTCATCGTCTTGACGTGAAAGCAAGGTTTGTGATGAATAATTTTACAACTTTGTAGTTGATTATGAATACTGTAGCGTACCATTTGTAATGAATAAAGAGGCTGAATTGCAAATGGAAATATGGTGCCCACAGATGGAGGTCTTAGAAGATAATTTGGGTTCATTATGTTAATCGGCCATAGTAGAGAGATACTGAGACAATTCTTAAACTGGCGTTTCAACAGTTAGCCCTTCGTCCGAGCGAGGAAGGCCTACTGCTCGAAACGTCAATTCAAGAATATCTCTGCGGTGTCCAATTTACGTTGTCACCTCACTGTAAAAAACCAAATATGCAAATCACATTTTCGGTGTTCTTGGATTAATGTCCGGTTCGATTTTTGACGTTTTTTAAACAATGCTTCATGGAAACGACCTTGGAACAAAAACCATTCGATACATACATCAAGAGTTTTTCTTCTCTGGTTCCAAGACAGTAGATTCATCAGTCCGAATTGTATCATACAGTGTAATTTAAAAAGTACACGGCGAACGCAGTTTCCCTGCCTGAAGGAGTTTCGTAATAATTTATTCGAGTTATTGCACAGGCCGCCGAAGTTCACGTCTCGAGAAAAAGCCAACGATGAATTCATGAACGCGTCACGCGTTGTGTGACTCGGTGTTAAGTTACGGGAGGAACCGTTGAAAATTTGAACACGTTATAAGGAATAGTATTAGGAACGAAATATGGTCGATTTACAACGATAAATATTTCGAAATATGAATATTTTACACGTAAAATCAATAAAAACTTACTCATGCCCTGTGTATCCGTCGTAGTTTCTAGCGATTTCTGCTGTTTTAAGCTTGCTTTACTATCACTGTTATCCATGTCAAAAGACGAAGTTCACGGTTCCTCCCGTAACTTAACACTGAGTCACACAACGCGTGACGCGTTCATGAATTCATCGTTGGCTTTTTCTCGAGACGTGAACTTGGGCCGCCTGTGGTTATTGCACTTGGGGTGTGCATATATGATTTCTGCGTGTGGCAAATAAGATTAGGACGAAAATATCTCATATCTCAGCATGAAACTTAGTGTTTGTGATTGAATCGTGAATCGAAAGGCTGGATGGTTTGACCTCAAGGGCGCGATAGTATGAAATTGCACAATATATGAGTGTTACTGAACAGAGTAACGCAGTAACGGGTAACGCAGTAATGAGTAACGCAGTAACGAGTGACGCACTAACGAGTAACGCAGTAAGGAGTGAAGAAGAAATGAGTACCGAGTAACCTGGTAACAACTTAATGGCAAAAATGCTACAAAGTTTTAAAATGATTTAAACAAATTAAGAGAGACCCAGAAACGACAAGCAAACTTCGACAGGAGAAAAGAATTATTTCAATCAAGAGAATATATTCTCATGTTGAAACAGATTAGAAAAGATGAATTTAAGGAGAAAAATTAAGCGTGGAGGTTATTTTGATATTGCGGTGTTGAGACGAGTTTGACAAAGGGATGCGCCTTTGGAATCACGGGTTTTAAAAAGATTTTTTCTAGTGTTATGTGTATGCTTTTTTGTTGTTTGTTTTTATTTAATTATTTTTTCAATTATTTAGAAAATAATACTTGGTACTCCTGATGGTTGATATGGATATTTAGCCGCCACACACCATAATCCTTATAGAACTGAAGACGCATCGTGCACTCCAATTGCTCTCGCGCATCCTCGATTTGTTTACTAAGAACGTGTGGAAAGATTGATAGTTAACTGAGCAAAGTTTTTTAATCAGTCTGACTTATAAATTTATTTTACTTTGTTTTTCCATTCGCTCAGCTCTTGAGAAATGATAAGCAGAACGGCTTTACGCCTTTTCCTCGGTCGTCATAGCACCCGCCGGTCAGCGTACTCTACTAAAACGGCTCATAAAATTGGAATCATCGGCTTAGGAAATGTCGGCTCAACAGTCGCAAAGAACCTTCTTAAGTCAGGTTTCACAGTGTCCGCCTTACTCGACAAGGATCCAAAAGTGGGGCAAGATCTACCTGGGGATATACCACGCCCAAAGACACCACGTGAGCTGGCTGCCATGTGTGACGTAGTCACAACAGCTCTCCCTGCCCCACCCCATGTTAAACAAGTCCTGTTGGGAGAGGACGGGGTATTGGCAGGGCTGCGGTCAGGAGGGGTATGGATTGACCATTCAACCACGGATTATCAGCAGACTTTGGACCTTACTGCAGAAGCTGGTATGTGTCTTAGGGCAAGAACCTTTTACAAGAGAGTGTAGTTAGAATGAGATAAGGTGGGCCCCCGGATAGTGTGGTTTGGTTATAATTTCGGTGAAATCCCAAGCGATATCCCGGCAGGGGTACCCAGCCACCATACGTATTCCAGGGCGGGATCCCAGTGTGGTTCTGAGCGGCAACACAACGGTACCATGGACGCGATCCCAGACGTCGTGGAATATATTTCTCTGTTGCCACTGATTTCCCTTTCCACCAAAAGCATTAATGGGTACCTCAGAACTGCGAGGGAAACAAGGAAATGTGAAAAGGCCAGCCATCGCAGTTTGCTTACCAAGTTTTCCTTATGGTTGAATGGAGTTCAATTGACACTCTCTATATACTCTCTATACTCCTTAGTGGAGAAACACCGTAAAGGAAAAGTGGGGCTGGAATCAAGGCTTGTTAATTGTTTGTATACAGCCCAGCAGCGTTCAAATTCTTGGGCCACTTTTCACTTTATAAGTCCCGATGAAGTTCTCCTTATAATGCCGTCTGCGATACAACTTCTTGCGCGCAATATTATATTAAAGCTTGTTATAAGAGATTAAGACGTGGATTAAACGATTTTCAAGGATTTGAATTACACTCGAGCTTATTATTAACTCATATTTTGCCTCTGAAGCTAAGAAAGGCATCAAAGTTCTTGAGGCGCCCGTCACAGGAGGTATGGCTCTTCTCAAGCAAGGTAAAATGACTGTACTGGTCGGAGGAGACAGGCAACTCTTCGAAGACTGCCTTCCTATTCTACAACAGAGCGGTAAGAAAGTGCTGTACATGGGAGCGATGGGGAGTGCTACCATTGCAAAGGTTGTCTCTAACATGATAGCTGCTGTTAATGTCGTTACCATGACCGAAGCCATGTTACTGGGGAAAAGGGGCGGTGTCGATTTAAAATCCCTTTTTGATGCCATTAGATTTAGCGCTGGAAATACGTATACGTGGGAGACGGAAGCTCCTTTGGTATTTAATGGAACGTACGATCCAGATTTCACCATTGGGCTCCACTGCAAGGACTTGAATCTTGGGTACCAGCTCGGACGTAAGTTTAATGTCCCCATACAGATACTAGCCCACGCAGAACAGATCTACAACCGCGCCCTTTACAAGTTTGGGGATGAGGTAGGCTCAACGTCTCCTGCAAAGCTTCTGCAAGACGAATTAGAAGAAACTTTGCAGGTTGAAGGATTCGAGGATTGGACGTATACTATTGAACATGTTGAAGACTCCATGGCCGTTGTGCACACAACAAAAGAGAAGGTTTACGGACAGAAGTAAGCACAGTCAATGTGCTGTTCAACAAAGTGGAAACTCTGACAATTCAATAATTTTTTTCTCTGTATAACGTTAGCTCGCTTGGTATTTTGAGCATAAAATAAATTTTGTAAAGGTTTGAAGTTTGCTCCATCATGAGAGTGAAGTGGGTGTTGATGAGGAGAGAGGGGGATAGGGGCAGGAAAGGGGGAGATCGTGGGGGTGGGGGTGGGGGCTTACCTCAGGTAATAACAGTGTTATTAGGTTGTGGGCGTGAAATGATTGTGAGAGTGGCGACCCCGGTAACTTAAGGATTAAAAAAAATATTTTATTTTACAACATTACTATTGCTATTCATACTCAGTTAAATTAAGGTTTCGAAATAAATGATTGTCCAGTGGCCTGAGCCAAGCTGGAACAATCACGGTTTTCCATGTTTTCCGCCTTGTTTCACAACTAATTGTGCATTTCAAATTTAGCAACTGTTGAGTTTCTCGAGAATTCGTTGCAAAGTCGTAAACAAATGACACCCTAGTGCAAGATTTTATAGGGAAAATGTATGTGACGGTGAAAGGGCCCTTATCTTTCATTTCTACGATCGAAAGATCGATAGGAAAAACTGAAATACGCAGGAAGTTTCTGCGTGAAAAATTACGATTAATCCTTTATTTTTCGTGACACTGTGCTTCGAAGGGGTCCATCCTCCTTGGTCCTGCAGTGCTGAAATTGTGTGGTACATTGAACCTTTCATAAAGAAAGTGCATTTATTGCGAAAGTGGGAGTAACTGTCTTAACCAGTGACCCTCTAAATTACTAATCGAAAGGTGTGAAAGACTGTCAAAATATGATAATTACGCTGTTAGCCATTATTAGTGTCGCTAAATGCATATGGACCAGCAGAACATAAATTGTTTTGTTTTTTATTTCGGACATTATGTAGGAGCCAGTCACGAATTGATACGTCACCATTGATAGTTTTAAAACTTTTTTTTTCCTTCATGAAGATAGCAGTAGACGTACCAAAACCATTTTCGTGATCGTATTTCACTTTTTGATGAAAAGGGATGAAAATCCGTTTTTCACAAGGAAAGTTTGCGTGCGATTGAAACGATACGAACAGATCTCATTAGTTCGCTCAAATCAAGAATAAAACCCTCCTTCGGGGTCTTTTTTTTTTCAATTTTTTTTAAGGTCGCTTTGCGCATTATGAAGCAAGCGATATCGGAAGCAGAAGAAACTGTCCTCGTCACTTTGAAGCTTGAGGAAGCCGTCAACTGAAAGCCTGAAAATAAAAAATTTCACCATTCTGAACATCTGTTGTGTCTATGTCATAAACTGGAACATTTACCACGCAGGGTGACTGAAGATAAATGGTTCAAATGAATTGAAACCAAAACTTTGAGGTCACTGTACACTTTAAATTGATGATGGGCTTGTCTCATCTGCAGATTAAGGTAACAGTTCACGGTGAACTTGTGGAATCTGAGGCGCGCTCATTCAGGTAAGCGAAACTGTTTAAAGAACTGTTATTTTCAATTCTAATTTTCAATTCTACCCCAAGGAAATTGTTCGCTTTCTTCGAAAAACGTTTTAGCAAGAATGGTGGCTGAACACTTTTTAATCAAATAAACTGGTCCAGCTGTTGCAAACATTTCAATGTTTCAGAAAAACTTTTCAAGTTAGCACCAAAATACTAATATTCTCTATTTAATTTGCGGAGATTCGTGCTTCCTTAACAGAGCTCGACAGTGTTTTTTGTGATATAAGCTGAGAATGGACGTCACCTCCAGGAGGATGATTTTGGTTTTTGTCCTGTTTGTGTGGATGGAACAGACAAACGCTTTCAACTCTCCAGGTACGTAAGAACGAATGAATATAGAAATAAATCAGATCTAAATGAACAGAGAAGTCCACGAAAAAAAAAACAAATGAAACAGCAAAATGAGAAAAAAGTGAAATATGGGGAGTTATCGCCCTGAAAGAAGAATCGAACGATACTTATTCAAATCCTTTTATTCCTAAATAGAGACAAAGATTAGGTTTGTGATAGCTTTGTAAGTATGCTCAAAATCCTGATATGTCCTCGCCTTGAAACCCCATCTGCAGGTCTTTTCCTTCAAACATTTTTTTAAAAATATGGCATATATTCTATAAGGCTTTTTCTCCCTTTAAACCTGTATTTAAAAAAAGCAGTTTGTAAAGTTACAATTGTACAGTTTTTAATAAAAAAAAAAAAAAGATCGCTGCCTCTGTCAATATTTCGCGACATTTATTATTTCGAATGATGATGTTGTGATGTTAATAAAGTAAGCCTGAATTTTTTCAATTTTTTTTTAATGTACAGTCCGGTCACTCTTCGACACCTATGATCACTTATGTTTCCTTGTAGCTATTCCTAACTTAAAATCAATGATTCCCGACAACTCCCGAATTCGCATCATAGCCAACTCTACCGGCCTTTCACAATAAACATCTACACATCAGCTCTCCTCTCTGTGTGCTATTCACCTCTGGAAGCTTTAGCCCCGAGACTTTGTTGCTAACTCAAACAAAATCCCTTGTTTGAAATTTCCTTCTTCTGAACTGTTTGCACTAACATGCACTGCTATTGTAAAGATAAATTCCCTTTTGGTCGCACCTAGTGGGGGATTGGGTTAATAGCTAAACCACAGCTGTCAACGAGTTATAAAAAGCTTTATGACAAAGTTCCCCCGTTGTTATCCTGAATGCTTAAATTTTTCATTCGCAATCTGTTTCGGTCTTAGCCATCCTTAAGTAATCTATGTTATTTTTGTGTTTTCTTGCTACTTTGGTGTTTATCAACCAATGGAAACTCTTATTTTATGGTTTTATTCTAACTAAAAATTAACTTTATGCACAAAGATGACTGTATCTATTCTTATTTTAGATTGCGAGTCAGTTGTAAATAATACACTGAAAAGTCCACATTATCCAGATGACTACCCCAGCGATGTGTACTGTTCCTATAATATTCCAATTCCAAATAACTCGGCACTGATTATTACTTTTGAGTACTTCTACCTGGAGAAAGTTGACGGGTTATTATGCACGTGAGTAAAACTATTAAGAGGCTGTCCGCGTAAGAACGGATAAGGCAAATTTCGGCCGATCGCCGATTTCCCTAAGTTTTTCAGTGAAAGTTGAAAATTTATCCCATGTACAAATATCACATTTATTTTGATCATTTTCATTCTTTTTATTTTTTATGAGACAATTTTAAAGGTCACCCCAAAACTGCTCAATTTGCCTTCTGTGACCCCTATTACTAAGCTATAAATATCGAGCGTTACCAAATCCTTATTTCCCAATCTAGAAAGCTGATTATTTTAAATATTTAAGAATGACTTTATTTCAATACTTTAAAGGTAAAATGATTGCATTCTATAAAATTTTGACCGAGTAATGAAACTTTCAAAATACCTTATCGTGAGCAAAGAAATTTGTGAAGAGTGAGATACATGCGGTTGAAAGCTATTTTCTCTTATGTGGGACCTGATCTAGAGTCAAGTCTATTGCAGCTCAAAAGTACTTAGAAACAGCAAGTTAAACATAGAATAAAACTTTTGGGCACTCCTCATCCTGCACCGTAGAGAGCTTGGCGAATTTCATAAATATTCGCCATCTTGATTGAAATCAACGATAAGGCGGTCCGACCTGCAGACAGGTTTCTAAAGCGTAACAGCCCTAAAGTACTTGAAGGTGCCGCAAAGATTATCTGATGGAGTATCAAGATCGATATAATTCATCATTTCGGCCATTTTTTCACGAAATGGCCCAAATTTTTTCGGAAAAATACTTCGTTAATAGTTCCTATATGCAAATTAGCTTCATGCGTTCGTGTTATAATACGTGTCAAAAATAGTTTCCGTAACAACATTTAGCCGTTCAAAGAAGTGTTCCTATAAATGTGAAACTCATCTGTTGTATCCTTTCTTGACAGCTTTACGTAAAATTTCAAGAGCCATTTCCTTTGAACACAATGCGCTAGGGGAATCCAGTTTTTTTTGACAACCAAGTTGTTCATTTCGCGCAAGTGTTTTTATCTTGCCGTTTTTCTTCAGGAAAATAATTCACCCGTACTTGGGGAAAAATTTCGTCTTACTGTTTGGGAAAGTTTTTTAGATTGTGAGCTAGTTGGTTCTCATGATTTACACCATGGAGATTTTTAAGCGTGACTGTGGACTGCCGTGAACTAGCCTAGTCACGCAATACCAGCATTAAAAGACCGTCTTAAGGCTGGTGAGCTCAAATTAAAGAAACATTTAGTTCGGCATTTATATCACGATATGTTGATGTTTCCATCGAGAGTATGAAAATCTCCCAGAAGAAATTGAGAAATTATGCAACCGATAGAAATTGGTATATTTAATTTAATAAATGTTTCCAAAAGTAGGTAAGCGAATTTAGTAACTTAAGTTAAAGGCATAAATCATTGAAAAAATTTCGAGGAGGCAATAGAGACATTCTCTTTTGTAAATGCTCGTACATGCTATAGAGTGAGGGTCAACATGACTCACGGTCACGGTAGGCTTATGATTTTCTTGTTTTAAAATTGAAGGCGTGACTACAAAATAACAGGCGCTAATTTTAAAATGATTTTCACGGGTTTAATTACGTGCTAATGCTTTAAGCACTTTCATTCATCGATATAGAACTGTCCATCAGAGTACTAAGAGGCGGTGCACATTGCTCTTCAACAAATTCACTCTAAATGCCCTATCACTGGTTTGCCAGGGCTCCATGCTTACAGTCATCCCAACCGTGGCCCGTGTGTTACACTTCATTAAAGCATTGACATTCTTGTATAAAGGACACCAGTTGCCCAATCAGGTCTTTTCTCCTGTCTCTTGATTTAAATGGTATTCCAAAAAAGCGCAAGATTTCTTTAAGCAGTCGTTAGAATCTTCCTAATAAGTGTCTGTGCCTCGGGCAGATGGGCATTCCCTCGAGCTGACTTCTCGGCAAATGCTGAATTCCCGCTCTCGCCATGATTACCTTGGCTTCTGTACCTTCGCTGTATTTTGACAAGTAGCAGCTCGCCAAATGGGCGGATATATCTGCGTTACACTCGGATAACAAAACATGCTCTACTTCCTCCCCACTAGAACCGACTTTGCAGTATTTCGTAAAGAGAACAATTTGAGGAGACAGCAGGCATTTTTAGTGCTAACAAAGTAAACGTCCCAAGAAACACTGTCTCGGATTTGTCTGAAAATGTTGCCGACAGATCGTTTTGTTCCCGACAGATTTTAATTGAAGTAGGAAGAAATAAACAAGTTTGCCAAATATTTATTTCGCAAAAAATAGAAATGCCACACAGAAAAGTTAAAAAGTCTTCACTTCAATAAGCTTCAAGCAAAAAACATTTCGTGTGTTTTTGAAGAGATGTACCTGTATTAAAAGGAAATGTAGCTGCCGTCGAATTTCTTTATCAAAATTAATCAGTAATTTAATTAGGTGAAACAGAAACACACGGCTCTTTTTTAGCGCCTCATAGAAAATGAAAATGGTCGTAAAAATATAATAAAAAGTTTTTGTCTTGAAAATGCGGAAAAAATTCCTAAAATAAAAAATAAACAAAAACAAAAAACCACACACACACACAACTCTTGGTCATCGAGAAAACGCCAAAAGAAAAAAGTGTCCTAAACTGCATATTACATAACTTTCTGTAGCTAATTTGCATAATTTATTAATCGCAAGAAAGCTCTCCCTCATTGTTTGTTCTTCAGCACACCTATATCTCAAATATAACGGCGTAAGCGTGATATGATACTTATTTCTGATGTACAAACCAACCTCTCATTATTTATTATTTGATTTTAAGGTGGTTCTCGGTCCCGATATTAATAAACTGTTGGACCGTGTTTTATCGAGATAAAGACACTCGAGCGAAATGAACAACTTTATTTATCAAAACAAACTGGATTCCGTTAGCGCATTGTGTTCAAAGAAAATGGCTCTTGAAATTTTACGTAGTGCATTCAAGAAAAGATACAACAATTGAGTTTCCACATTCTTAAAAACACTTCTTTGAATGGCTAAATGTTGTTACGGAAACTGTTTGTGACGTGTATCGTATAAACACGATCGGCTGCAGTTAATTTGCATATAGGAATTAAAAAGTATTTTCATTTCGTTAAAAAAAGGGCCAAAATGATGATTAACATCGATCTTCATACTCCATCACATAATTGTTCCTGCACCTTTAAGCCTTTTAGGGCTGTTAAGCTTTACAAACCTATCTGCTGGTCGGACTGCGTTATCATTGGTTTCGATCAAGACGTCGGATATTTATGAAATTCACAAAGCTCTCTACGGCGCAGGATGAAGAGTGCCCAAAAGTTTTATATTATGTTTAACTTGCTCTATCTAAGTACTTTTAAGCTGCAATAGACTTGACTCTAGATCAGGTTCCACGTAAGAGAAAATAACTTTCAACCGCATGTACCTCACTCCTCAGAAATTCCAATGCTCACGATAAGGTATTTCGAAAGTTTCATAACTCGGTCAAAATTTTACAGAATGCAATCGTTTTACCTTTGAAGTATTGAAATAAAGTCATTCTTAAATATGTAAAATAATCAGCTTTGTAGATTGGGAAATAAGGATTTGGTAGCGCTCGATATTTATAGCTTAATTATAGGGGTCACAGAAGACAAATTGAGCAGTTTTGGGGTGACCTTTAAAATTGTCTCGTAAAAAATAAAAAGAATGAAATTGATCAAAATAAATGTGATATTTGTACATGGGATGATATTGATTGACTTCCAGTGAAAAACTTAGGGAGATCGGTGCAGGGCCGAAATTTGCCTTATCCGTTCTTCCGCGGACAGCCTCTTTACTTCTAAAGCACTTTTTGATAAGTTGTGGAGAAAAACAAAAACTTCATTTACAACCTCAGCCTAACGGTAAAGCGGTCAGCATGAACAAGCAGCCAATTAATGCGCAGGAAAACGCGGATTACACAGCCGCGAGAGGTTTAAGTTATGCATCCGGTTAGTTTAAGGATGGTGCGAGTTTTTGAGCCAATAACAGAACGCGGTGATGGGAAACCATTGCAATCCTAATTATAAATTACTTTGCCGAATAACTTAACCCTTTTACTCTCTAGAGCAAAATACCAGTCCTACCCAGTCCTTTCTAAACGAGCTGATTCTAATCAGAGCCATCCTACATGTAGACATATTTTCTTTGTTTCCTTTTTCCAGCCAAGCTGACTATGTGCAAATAAGGTCCAGCTTTGGGCAAAATCTTGGTACGTTCTGTGGCGAGTGGACTGGGAAAACGATAGTCTCTCTAGGAAAGTATGCGCAGATAACTTTCCAGTCGGATTCAATGTTTCAAGAACGCGGATTTCTAATGCATTTTTGGACTGGTCTAATTGGTAAGACATAGGGAAAGATATCCATACACATGCATAAATTGATTTTAGAGTGTGTCACAGCAAACTTTTGTGTCAAACCAAACTTTTTCAATACAAAGACAAAATTACAAAGAAAACATTGCTGAACGCACGAGTGGGTATGTTTCGAGCGCCTTGATTTGTGTCATAACCAAAAGGTTTCATTGTAAAGATGATTAACAAAAGTTTTACAAGAATCATTGCCAAGGGTTACTTTGGGTTACAAGCCGAGTTACTGACCCATAAGAACTGGTTCATATAAAGCGTGCGCAACACGCAGTATGGATGTGCATGGGAAGTTCAGAGAGCGCGAGAGAAACGTATTGAGCTTGCTGGATCTGAAAGTTTGGCAACAGGAAAGTGCGCTGAAACTGGACGGGAACTTTTGGTAGAATTTAGCTACTCACGTGATGTTAAGTTCGCTCGGAGGTGCAAACATAGACCACAATGGCTCAATAGGAATTAGACAGGACAGGAGGGTGCTATGTTATGAAGTAGTTTCCTCACATATTTTTAACGTCGAATAATAAAAATGTGAACACGTAGCTTCTGTAAACACACTCAGGCTAGCTTATTTGTTTACTTAATCCATTTTCCTTGGCAGGCAATCTTACAGTACCTGGATTCTCTAACGGTATGTTGGATTTTACTTCACACCTATCAATTTTCTTATCTTGCGCACAGGCACTGAGGCGAGGGAGCATTTTGAAACGTAGTTGGGTGGGGGAAAAGGGGATTATCAAGATAGACCAAGCCAAGCGTATACTCTAGTTCGAATTTCCAAAAATGGCTTCTACGAGACGCGAGCAAAGCGAAACTCTTTGTAATCTGAACAGGTGTTCTCGATATCAATTTTCGAGAGTGCACAAGAATCAAGATGTTCCAAACGTCCTACAATATATTTGCTACGCGTCTTTCTGATAAAGGATCAGAGAAAAGGTTACACGAATGAATATTTTGCCAAACTACTTGTTTGGGCGTGGCGGAGAGGGCAGAAGTTAGAGGCCCTTCGCCCTCCTTGCTCTGTAACCTGTGTCAGTTGTGATTTGAGTGGCACTAGACTCAGCACTTAAGTGGTTGTGATGAAGTCAAAGGCTCAGTGTTTATGTAATAAAATTAATAGATAACTGCATGGACTGAACGTGAGCTACTGTGGAAATAGAATTGAAAGTTGCTGTCTGTTTTTGCTATTCCAGAATGTGGCTCAGTCGTGAATAACACACTGAAGAGTCCTGGATATCCGAACGATTATCCCATAGAATCGGAATGCAACTATTCTGTTCCGATCCCAAAAGGAATGGCAATTTTGGTCACTTTCCATTATTTTTTGTTGGAGGTTATTGACTCGTCATGCGAGTGAGTAGAAAAGACAAGTTTGTTATAAAGATTTGGCTCCTCCAAAAGTGTTCAAAGTTGCCCAAAACAGGCTGTTGTTATTTCCCTCTAGTTCTAAAAAATATAAGAAATATTTACCCTTGTATGAGGTATTTTGTGTGGGAGACGTAGTGGCCGAGTGGTTGGCACGTTGGATTTCCAGGTCAAGACACTTGTGTTTGAGACGTGGC